AATAGAAAATCAAAATAATAATAATGGCGTTTTCTTTTCACATAATAGCACGTACCACTAAAATATAATTACTCCACACAACACAAGAATCGAATAATTACCCTTTTTAACGGTCTACTGAATACTCACTAACTGTTGCTCTAGTGGCCTCCCTCGTGCTTGGTTCAGTTAAAAGCAAAGAAACCATTTTTCACCACTTTTCTCCAGTCTTCAAGTTTTCCATTTTCTTTTGTCTCACTAAACAAGTTTCTATAAGCAATCGTTTGATTCGCGAAAAAAGTTATTTCAAAATTAGCTAGGAGATCAAATAAGATAATACGGAATATCTCACTTTATCTCGCGTACTACTGTCCCTGAACGAGTTAATGGAAATATACTTGTCTACTACTATTACCCACAGTATACCTGTGACACTGAATAATCTTTCCCTCTGCCTCTCCTCTTTATTTTCAAATCATTCTTTCTCTTTCTCTTTCTCTTTCTCTCTCTCTCTGTGTCTTGTTCTGCTATAAAAACCTCATCTTTTTTTCTGCTTGTAGTTGATAATACATGCTTTTACTAGCCTCATACATCAAGATAGGAGATGGGTGTTTCAAAAAAGACTCTTTCTTTACTCTTTCTTTGTGTTTTTCTTGGAGAAATTAGTCTCTGCTTTTCTACCAAGGTAAAGTTGGCTCTGTATCAACTATATGGGGACATGGGGTTTTATTTGAATGATGAATAGTTAGTAAAGCTGTGTTTTTTTTTCTTTCTTCAGTTATATGTGGTGTACATGGGAAGCAAAGATAGTGATGAGCACCAAGATGAGATTTTGAGGCAAAACCATCAAATGCTTACTGATATTCACGGAGGAAAGTAAGTTCTTGGTACTTTTAGCTATGAGTTTGTTTCCCCCCTTTTGGTCTGTTTTTTGGCAAAGAAAACTGAAGTGGTTAATAACCTTTACAGTGTTGAACAAGCCAAGACTTCTCATGTATACAGTTATAGACATGGCTTTAAAGGATTTGCAGCCAAGTTGACTGAGAAACAGGCTTCTGAAATATCCAGTGAGGCTTTTACCTAATGTTTTATGTTACTGTTGATTACCTACTTTGATGGTTTGCACTCAGTCCACTATTTGAATGTTGAAACAAAACAGAAATGCCTGGTGTGGTATCTGTATTTCCAAATACTAAGAGGAACCTGCATACAACTCATTCATGGGATTTTATGGGGCTCAGTGAAGATGAAACAATGGAAATCCCAGGTTTTTCCACCAAGAACCAAGTTAATGTAATCATTGGTTTCATTGATACAGGTGATCATTTCTCTGTTCAACTAGCTCAAAGTTATCTTAATTGCTGCAATCTTTTTCCAGTTAGGTGAAAGATATGATCGTTTAGGTGATCGATGGCACAAGCCAAGTCGGTCCCTTCACTGATTGTGTTGTCATGTAAAAGGCTCGTCACTAGTTACGTTTCTTAAGAAGAGTACAATAACATGACTTTGAAAAAGTGCTAAGTTTGTCATTTAGGTACTAAGGTACATATGGTTGAACCTGGGGAAAGCAGTTCCTTTAGTACTCTGTTCCCTTTTCATCTATTGTAGGTCTGTAGGATAAGTTTTATCGCGCATCAATCAATTCTTGTTTCAATCATTTGAGAATGATGGATATGTTTGCTTAGATTTTCTTTAGCCCAACTTCATTCAATGTCTCAACTTCCTAGTTTCTTCTTTGCACTTGTTGAACTGCTTGTGAATGTAAATGGAGTAAAGTCATCTCTCTGTTCACAACCTTATCAGTTTATCTTTGGCCTGGTCCCCAGCTTCCTTGTTTCCCTTGTTTTTTTGAACTAATTAGACCTTGAGGTTAAGCTCTTAAGACATTTACTGAAACAGGAATTTGGCCTGAGTCTCCAAGTTTTAGGGATACCAACATGCCTCCAGTGCCAGCTGGATGGAAAGGACAATGCCAATCAGGGGAAGCATTCAATGCCTCAATATGCAACAGGTTTCTTTTATTTGTCAACCATTTCTTGCAGTTTAATGTTTTGTTATATAGATGATAAGTCTAATAAGAATTTTGTCTTATATAGGAAAATAATTGGGGCAAGATATTATATGAGTGGCTATGCAGCTGAAGAAAATGATGGAAAGACCATGTTCAAGTCTGCCAGGGACAGTACTGGTCATGGAAGTCATACAGCTTCAACTGCTGCTGGGCGTTACGTAGCTGATATGAATTACAAAGGTTTGGCATCTGGAGGAGCCAGAGGTGGTGCCCCAATGGCCAGGATAGCAGTGTACAAAACCTGTTGGAGTTCTGGTTGCTATGATGTTGATTTGTTGGCTGCATTTGATGATGCAATTAGAGATGGGGTTCATGTCATTTCTCTATCTTTGGGCCCAGATGCTCCCCAAGGAGATTATTTTAGTGATGCAATTTCTGTGGGGTCATTTCATGCTGTTAGCCGTGGGATACTTGTGGTGGCCTCTGTTGGAAATGAAGGAACATCTGGTTCAGCCACAAATTTAGCTCCTTGGATGATCACAGTTGCAGCCAGTTCAACTGATAGAGATTTTACGTCTGATATTTTACTAGGAAATAGGGTTCAACTCATGGTAATCCCACTTTTCGATTAGTTTATATGTTAAAGTAATATTCAATTTCTATCTCCTCATTATGTTCTGGATATTTGGAAGGGTGAAAGTCTTAGCTTATCTCAAATGAATACATCTGCAAGAATCATACCTGCTTCTGAAGCTTATGCTGGATACTTCACTCCCTATCAATCCAGGTGAAGCAGAAGGTACTTAACTGTTTGTTAAATGTAGATATGTATGCATTGAAAATTATATTAAAGTGCTTTTTCCTTCCTATCTTATCCACTAGTTATTGCTTAGATAGTTCTTTGAATAGAACTAAGGCCAAAGGGAAGGTTCTTGTGTGTCGACATGCTGGAAGCTCAAGTGAGTCAAAGCTGGAGAAGAGCAATATAGTTAAACAAGCTGGTGGAGTTGGGATGATCCTTATTGATGAAGCTGACAAGGGTGTGGCTATCCCCTTCTCCATTCCAGCAGCAACTGTTGGGAAAAAGATTGGAAACAAGATCCTAGCTTACATTAATAATACACGGTTCACTTCCTTCTTAGTGGCTGTTGATGTTTGTTTTATTGCTCTTTGATATTATTAGCAATCATCTCATCTTTTTTATATTAACAGCCTCCCTACGGCAAGGATTCTCTCTGCTAAAACTGTTTTGGGAGCTCAACCTGCTCCTCGAGTAACAGCATTTTCTTCAAGAGGTCCTAATTCTCTAACACCAGAAATTTTGAAGGTAATTTATTTGCTTAAAATAGTATCGAATTTTAGAAACTTGTCTTTCAACTGCTCCTTGTTTTCTACATCGATCCCTCTTTGCTTTTATCATTTAGACCAACAAAGTCTTATGTTGCATCCTGAGATTTCCTTCCAGGATCTTCAATGTGGTTTTAGATTAGTTCTTTTAACTTTGCATCTCTTTGTTCCTACTTTACTTGAGAATTTATTTTTTTCTTGCAAGTATAATATACCTGCTGATTTACCTTGTAGCCTGATATTACTGCTCCGGGATTAAATATCCTGGCAGCATGGTCCCCAGCAATGTCTAAGTTGAACTTCAACATACTCTCTGGAACTTCCATGGCTTGCCCTCACATATCAGGAGTTGTTGCCTTGTTAAAAGCCGTGCATCCATCATGGTCTCCCTCTGCAATCAAATCAGCCATCATGACAACAGGTAAACTAGATGCCTTACATAGTCTAACTATGCAACTCTTGAGTCTGAGGTTTGCTTCAAAGAAAGAAAAGGGTGAGGGGATCAAGATTTGGTTTTTTTTTAGCATATTGTCTTAAAAATACTTATGGTTTTATTTGAGCTTTGTATCTTAAAAACCTGAATGTGTATAAAGTGAATTTAACTATAACAGAATAATCTAATGTCATGAATGTTAATGCAGCCAAACTATCAGATATGCATCACAAACCCATAATAGTAGATCCTGAAGGGAAGAGGGCTAATCCATTTGATTTTGGTTCTGGATTTGTTAACCCCACGAAAGTCCTTGATCCTGGTCTGATATATGATGCACAACCAGAAGATTACAGAGCATTTCTTTGTTCAATTGGTTATGACGAGAAATCTCTGCATCTAATTACAAGGGACAACAGAACGTGTGATCAAACCTTTGCATCGCCAAATGAACTAAATTATCCGTCCATCACAGTACCAAACCTCAGAAACAAATACTCAGTAACTCGAACTGTCACAAATGTGGGAAAATCAAGGAGTACTTACAAGGCAGTTATATTTGCACCAAAGGGTATCAATGTTACTGTGGTGCCGCAAAGATTAGCCTTCACTAGATATTACCAGAAGATGAATTTCACTGTGACTTTCAAAGTGGCTGCACCTACACAGGGGTATGTCTTTGGGTCCTTGTCATGGAGGAACAAAAGAACATGGGTAACATCTCCACTTGTTGTCAGAGTGGCACATTCCAACATGGGTACCATGGTATAGTTCAGCTGCAGTGCTATTTATTTGTGTTATATAAGAGAAGTAACAAGATATTACACACAGTAGCTGCTGAAAATGGTTGCATGAAGCCAACACAAAATTCTTAGTAGAATACATGTAATTAGTAGCAGAATACAAATAATTAGTAATTCTTTATTCTGTTTGTCCCTAGTATTGAGTTTTGGTTCTTGCAACCTAGTCAGCTTACTCATAGGCATACTGCAAATTCTTTTACTTGTCTAGTAATTGCATTATGGATTGGCATCTCTCTGTCTCTGCTTCTATATGTACTAGTAGTTCATTTTTTAATGGAATATCTTATCATGTTGGTATTATAAAACCCAAGAAACAAACAAAATGCAGTTTTCTTCACACACTCTGGTAAGTACAAGTCTTGTGACTTCCAACTGATCCAACATGCATTTTGAATAAGACTAAGGAGGGGCTGGGAGGAAGTTTAGATTTGGTCATTGTGCAATAAAAAACCAGTCGATGTTATATAATGCATCGTTACAATCTCAACTTTATGCTAACAGAAGTTGGATTGTTGTACAGAATTCTGTATATATCCCCAGTTTACTGAAAAACACATTTTAAATAAACCATCATAATCGCTGGCCTTGGGATTGAATATCTGAAGGATCAACCAGGCCTTCTAACACAACAAGATCATCAAGGAGTGTTAGCTTCTCGTCTTCAAGGGCCTTGATCTCATCTTCGGCTTCTCTCAATTCTTTATTAAGACCAAAACTTTCTTCTTCCAGCAATAGATACTTTCTCCTTAATGCCCGATATTCTTTTCCAGAAGTGGAAGCATCTGGCGAGAATTCAGGTGTTGATTTCTCAGCATATTGGAATAATGGGGAAACTTCGTTTGGTGGGACTCTTTTGGTGGGTGTTAACCCATTTTGAATTGGCATTGCACGCACATCTTGCATCCTTTTTGCCTTATTCCCTTCTTTTTGCAACACTGGAGCCTTTGGTTGTGATGTTTTCTTTTTCCGCAATTTAGGAGCTGAAGCTTCCTCCAGTCCTCTCTGGTCTTGCATATCTCTATAATTGATCTACAAGGATAAACAGCTATTGATATCAGAAGGGTGGAGCCTGAAAGAAAACTGCAGTTGTATAATCCACAGGAATAATAGAATCCAACTTCTAGATTCTAACTTATGCAATCTCCCTAACCGATCTCACACATAAAAACAAAAGAACCCTGAAAAGATAATTGGTAATTCATGCATGCAGTCTGAGGTAATATCCCATTAAGTTCTGGTTATCATCCACAATATCTTTGGGGTGTTGGTGGGGCAGAGGGAGGTAGGGAGGATCCACTCAGGAATTAATAAAAAGGTCAGATTACTACAATAAATTCCGGACGAGAATAATGCCAATGCTAGCATCAGACAGTTAAGAGAGAAGCACTGATGATCATAGCCTCCAAACACTAAGCACCAAAGTAACAAAACATGAATCCCAGGTAACATGAAAACCACTTACCAACATTATCAATTTCTTACACTCTCAAAGATAATATAGAGGGAAAAATTGATGAGGTAGTACTATCAACAAATAAGAACCTAATGAATGATATAGAGAATACTGTTCCAGACATCTCAATATACAGAGCACCGACACAGCATGGCACATAATTTATTTTTAAATAAATTGGACACCAAAAACATCATTTTTTTCTCATTCTACAAAACGATTTGCAAGGTGAATATAGGGTCATGCTGAAGAATCTCTGTCCATGTCTAAAGCTTTGGCCTTCATTTGTTCTACCTTCTCCATACATTTTACAGTTTTAATTAAGCAAGATAATTCCATTATCCTCTAATTCAAGATGAGAGAATTCTACCAAGGTGACTGTTTTTGAGGCTTTTTTTCTTTCAAGATTATCTTATCATCAATTCTGGCTGGTAGTGGCAGTTTTGACTTTAGACTCAAAGAATAACACTTGGGGGTCGTTTGGTGTAATGGACAAGAGGATTTTATCCAGGGATAATATTTAGGGATAATATTTAAGTGGCTTTTAATCTGCTGTTTGGTTGCCAAGGATGGGATAACTTATCCCAGGATTAACAGTTAGTCCTGGGAAAAGTTATCCTTCCATGGGGGTGGAATAACAATCCCAGGATAAGTTATCCTGGGATTGGGTAGGTAAAATAACAAAAATACCCTTCTTAAACCCCACTTTTTACCCTTCGGGGTGGCCCAGTGGTTTGGGCTTGGGACATCCATGTTGGAGGTCTCAAGTTCGAAACCCCTTGCCAGCGAAAGCAAGGGGTTTGCCTTCTGGGTCGAGCTCGTCGCACCGGGCTTGCCTAGTACGGGTTACCTCTCCTATGTGGTTTGCGAGCTATTGCATAGGAGCGGGATTTTTACCCTGTGCGCACACAAAGGGTAGCGGCTGTGGGTTTCCCTTCTCATCAAAAATAAAACCCCACTTTTATACACCACTTTACATTCATGTATATTAACATAATTTTTAACAACATTTATAATAACATTCACAACCTTAATTATTCGTTGCTCTAATGATAATATATTTTTCTATTAATAAATTACATTTTATATATATAATTCTTATTTATGAATATAATATAAGTTGAATTTATTTGCCTAATTCTTATATTTATATTTTGATTTCTCTCAAAAAGTTCACTACACTACTAAATTGCATATTTTTTATTAAATTGTTTATTACTCACTTAAAAAATTATATTTTATATTTATCAATTAAAATGTAGATAACTTTAATAATAAAATTTCTTTCACTTTTAATAAACTTAAAATGAAAGTTTTATTTTTAAGCTAAATAGCATGAAGATTTTATTTTAAAACTAAATAAGATGAAAGTTTTATTTTTAAGCTAAAAAGATGGAAATTTTATTTTAAGCTAAACAAGATGGAAGTTTTATTTTTAAGTTAAATAAGATGAAAGTTTAATTTTCAAAAACACACGGCACAATCATGGAAATGCACACCCAAAAATATTTAAGCTAAATAAGATGAAAAAAATTATTTTTAAGAATGAATGACTAAACTTGCAAAGAAAATGTAAAAACAAAAAAAAAAACTAAATAAGGTAAAGGGTATTTTTGTAAACAAACAACTTATTCTTAGAAATTATGTCATGAATATAAGTTTGAATATGACAAACCAAACAAGCAATAAAAATCAATCCCAGCATAACTTATCACATCATAACTTATATTCAAACCAAACGACCCCTTAATGTATAGACTATCAAAATGACGGGGATTATGATGCCCAGCCAAGCAATAAGTCTCCTAACATAACCAGAAGAACATAGCACAAGAATTACAAGTAAATTTGTAAGTCATTATAGTTGATATTCCTACCACTATATCATATTTTGTGGTTGGATGTAGAAAAAAAGAAAGGTTCCACAGGCTACCGCAGCTTCTTCCTAAAACATCCACAAAGTCATATGATTCCTACGTCCAAGCAACTAATATCCTTTGACATTTAACAGAAATATCCCTTTATCGACTTAAAAACAATGACCTACTATGATTTAGTAAATAAGTATTGAGTCAATAATGGAGGGGGATGTTTCAATTAGATCCTTTTCACCAGTAATTTCAGTGAGATCTTCGCGATAAGAAAGTCAATGTTCTACATTCAAAGTCAATCTACAATAGACACAGGTTTTAGTTTTCTCAAAGTTGCGCAAGGAAAATTCATTTGTCAATCCAAAGACTAGAATTGCTTACAATGCCAGACTTGAAGGCTTAATATCAAAGTTCCAAATTGAATGAGCCTACATTAACAACACTGCAAGTTAAAGTCAACATTTGACTAGAACTGTCCCTAGAGTCTAGTGGGGATTAACGAAATTGAATGGTCATATTACAAGGAAATCTCCTCCAAAGACATTGTCCTTTTCACAAGCTCTCTACTCAAATTTAACAAATCTAAGAGAAGATTTCACTGTTTGGACAGCAAACATTTCAACGAAACGACTTCAAATTTTTGGTGCAAACTTAGCCTTGAATGACTCTATCATAAAAAAATCAAAAACCAAAAAGGAATTGAACTCTAAGGTTTTGAAGCTAGACATAGACTTGGGAAATTTAAACTCCAATAGTTATATATCTAAAGAGTTGGAACAACATACGCGCCAAATACATGTATTCTAGTTAAGAATACATTTCATACATGATACAGCCATTCTATTGTACAGAAGAATCATTGTCGCTGTTTGAGTAAGTTCTCTCCGTTTTCCCTTGAAGAGAACATTAGCAATCTTCCTCCTCCAATGTGCATCATTATTTTCACACAAACATTTTTAAAACACACTTATTCATCACAAGTTTATTAAAAAAAGAAACCCTTTATAATAATCCTTAACTAATCCATCACTAAATCTAGGAAGCTTAGCAGAGGCTTATCATATTTTACCAGGATGAAATTAGGATACCTTACAAGCAAAAATAATCAAAACACAGCAGATTATTGTCCCTTCTTGCCCTCCATTTCCAGGCAAAACTCAAAGCCATAATAACATAAATTGGACCCAGAAAAAAAGGCAACCTAACAAATTCATGATCAACAATAGGTAAAACATCAAGAAATAGTCATTAAATGAGGAAAAAGATGAAATCTTTCAGACTTCATAAAGCTAAATCGAGTTCAAACTCAAATTATAGTAAAAGAAGAAGACAAATTCAACTGGGTCGATAAACTCAGGACCTAAGAACACAAAAGTAATTGCATATTTAAGATTTTAACATAAAGCAATTAGACCTAGATTATAAAATCACCTCCATTTCTTGCCCAAAATTGAACGGCTGTCAATGTGGCGGATGAATTCTCTGTGCAAATCAGCGGAGGCAACTTCTCGGAGCTTTACAGCAAAGAAGAAAGGGCTTTTTACTGTCCTCCAAATTCCAATTTTGGACAAGCTACCACTAGGGCTCCTGTATTAATCGAATGTTTCGGGTTCGAATCTTGCTATATAAATTTATTTTATAGTAAGTTTTTTCATGATCGAAATTATAGAATTTTAATTAAGAAGGATTCTTTTACCGTTTTTTTGTCCTCATTATTTCAACCTCATTCTCTATCAATGCCATTGAAGCCAATTGAGACAATCATCAATGATAACTTTTTACTATTTTTTTCTTTAAAATCTAGACTAATTAATCTCATAAAAAAAATATTCATAACTTACTAAGTTTTCTTAGCAATATGAAAAATATTTTTGGATAGTTGCTTCTATTGCTTCAAACTGTCTTTTCAATTCAATAAACAATACAAAAATTAATTGCAAATAATACAAAATTAATAGAAAACAAATTTTGATCCATACAACATCACATGTACTCCAATTTATTTAAATAATACTCAAAGACAATAGTAACAAAAATAGTTGAACGTTATTTCAAGAAATAAATCTTAGACCTAGTGAACATGTTTTAAAAAATAAATTGAAAAAGAGAAACTGAAAATTCATTAATCTTTAAATATAAAAATATAATAATTAAATTAATAAAAATAAGTATTTTTAAAAATAAACTGATAGTATAATTTTCTTGTCCATTGTTAGTAAATATAAGTTAATCTCTTTCAAAATACTATACTCTAATTTGTATGAAGTTAAATAGTTTAATTTTGATTGTTGAGCATAAAATTTATATATTTGAAATTTATATAAATAGTATAGTAAATAAAAATAATTCATAATTTAAAATATATTTAAAAAAGAGTTGTCTGAATTTCAATTTGGAAAAAAGTAAAACTTTTTATGCACTTCCTCCATTACATTTCACTCACTAGTACTACTTTCATTTCTATTAATATGTTATCATTTCAGATTTCACCTCATTTGAAAAATTAAGTAAGTTTACGAGAAAATGTCATAAATAACTCTTTAACTATAGGAGTAGATCTAAAATGGTCCTATAACTATATTTTTTTTGAATTTATTCCTTCAACTATTTAAAAACTTATTAGATTTGGTCCCTTAACTATACATTTATCGGTTTTAGTCCCTTAGGTATATTTAAAAACTTATCAGATTTGATTTATGTCTATTTTTTATACAAATAACTTAGGTTTATATTAACAAT